TGGGGACACCCTGGGGACAGCTCGGGGACACGGGACAGCTCGGGGACAGCTCGGGGACAGCTTGGAGACACCCTGGGGACACCCTGGGGACACGGGACAGCTCGGGGACAGCGTGCGGACAGCATGGGGACACCCTGGGGACACGGGACAGCTCGGGGACAGCTTGGGGACACTCTGGGGACATGGGGACAGCTTGGGGATACTGGGACAGCTTGGGGACAGCTTGGGGACACCCTGGGGACACTTCAGGGGACACTTTGAAGATGTGGGGACACCTCGGCATCAACTCAGGGATGTGGGGTCACCTTGGGGACACTTGGGAGACACCTTGGGGACACCCTGAGGACAGGGAGGGAATTGAGGGGACAGTTCAGGGTGACCCTGAGTGGAGCAGCCCTGGGGACACCTGGGGGACACCCTGAGGACACCCTGGGGATGTGGGGACACCTCGGGGACAGCTCAGGGATGTGGGGACACCATGAGAGTAAGGGGGAAAATGTGAGGGGAAAAGGGGGGAAATGGTAGGGGGAAAATGGGGGAAATGGTAGGGGGAAAATGGGGGAAAATGTGGGGGGAAAAAGGGGAAATGTAAGGGGGTAAAAGTGAGAAATGTGAGGGGAAAAAGGGGGGAAATGTGAGGGGAAAAGGGAGAAAATGTGGGGGGAAATAGGGGAAAATGTGAGGGGAAAAGGGAGAAAATGTGAGGGAAAAAAAGGAAATGTGAGGGGGAAAAGGGGGGAAATGTGAGGGGAAAAGGGGGGAAATATGAAGAGAAAAAAAAAGGGAAATGTGAGGGGATAAAGAGCAGGAAGCGTGACAGGAGAAAAGAGTAAAGAACGTGAGGGGCAAAGAATGGGAAACATGAGGGGAAAATGGGTGAGAAATGAGACAACAAAGCAACAAGAAACATAAAGAAAAAAATTGGTGGGAAATGTTAGGCAAGAAAAAGTGAGAAATGGAAAAGGAAACTGTAAAACTTGAATGGACAAAATGACAAATGCATAAAAGGAAATAGCCAGAAAACTGAAGGGGAAAAGGGTGGGAAATGTGAGGGGGGGAAAAAGCAGGAAATGCAAGGGAGGAAAAAAGGGTATGAGGGGAAAATTGGAAATGTGAGGGAAGAAAACGTGGGAAATGTGAGGGGAAAAAGAGCAGGAAATGTGAGGGGGAAAAAGAGCAGGAAATGTGAGGTGAAAACTGGGAAACATAAGGGAAAAAAGAGTGGGAAATTTGAGAGGGAGAAGGGCAGAAAACGAGACAACAACGTGACAACAAATATAACAAGAAAAATTGGTGAGAAATGTTACAGGAAAAAAGATGAAAAATGGGAGAAAAAGCGTAAAACTTGAGAGAACAAAAAAAAGGGAATGCAGGAAGAATTGGTGGGAAATGTGAGGGAAAAAATGTGGGAAATGTGAGGGGAAAAGAGTGGGAAATGTGAGGAGGAAAATTGGCAGGAAACGTGAGGGGAGAAAAAGGCGGGAAATGTGAGGGGAAAAAAAAGAGTAAGAAATTTTAGAGGCAAAAAAAGTGGGAAATGTGACGGGGAAATGGGTGGGAAATGAGAAAACAAAGCAGCAGAAAACGCAAAGAGAAAAATCAGCAGGAAACGTTAACAGCAAAAACGTAAAAAAACCCATAAATTAAAAAAAAAGTGAAAAACTTGTCAAGACAAAACGGTGGCAAACACGAAGAAGGAAATAAGAAAGAAACTTGAAGGGAAAAAAGGTGGAAAATATGAGAGGAACAAATGCATGAGGGAAGAATTGGTGGGAAAGGTGAGCAGAAAAAAGTGAGAAATGTGAAGGGGCAAAGAGTGGAAATGTGAGGGGTCAAGATAGCAGAAACATGAGGGGAAGATGGCGGGTAGGATTTGGGGAAAAAGTGAGAAATGTGGGGGGAGAAGTGTGAGTGGGAAACATGAGGGGAAAAGGGTAGGAAATGGGGAAAAGCACTGGAAATGTAAGGGGAAAAAAGGCAGGAAATACTGGGAAATGTGAGGGAGAATTGGTGGCAAATGTCAGGGGAAAAAGGGGGGAAAGGGTGGGAAAAGTGAGGGGAAAAAAGAGCGGGAAATGTGAGGGGAAAAAGGGCGAGAAAAATGAGGGGAAAAAGTGGGAAATGTGAGGGGGGAAAAGGTGGGAAATGTGAGGGAAAAAAGGCGGGAAACAAGGGGAGAAAAGGGAGGGAAACATGAGGGGGAAAAAGGGAGGGAAATGTGAGGGGGGAAAAAGAACCCAAAATATGAGGAGAGGAAAGGGAGGGAAAGGTGAAGGGAGAAAATGGTGATAAACGTGAGGGGAGAAAAGTGGGGGAAACGTGACGGGAGAAAAGGATGGCAAATGTGAGGGGGAAAAAGAGTGGGAAAC